CGACAGTGAGTTCTACTCCCGCCTTAAGCATGGAAGCTGACTGGGTGACCTTTGGCCAATCACCAGGAGACTTGGGAATTCTAGTCCTGCCTTAGCTATGAAAACCAGCTGGGTGACTTTGGGCCAATCACCAGGAGACGGTGAGTTCTAGTCCCGCCTTAGGCATGAAAGAGAACTGGGTGACTTTGGGCCAATCACCAGGAGACGGTGAGTTCTAGTTCCGCCTTAGGCATGAAAGCCAGCTGGGTGACCTTGGACCAGTGTGTCTCGTACAGCCCAACCCACCTCATAGGGTTATTGTTGTGGGGGGGAATAGGAGGAGGACGGAGTATTTGGTTCGTTTGCCACCTTAAGTTGTTTATAAAAATAATAAAGGTTTATTTTTTAAAAAACAGCAGGGAAATTATTTACTAGGGCAGAAAATGGTTCTGTATTTCCAAAATGTTGATTTGATGGAATTGTGCGTTTTGCTGAAGTTTTCGTTAAGCAGCTTTGTCTGCCCTCTGCTGCACGTTAAGTGGAAAAGTCTTTTTTCAACACATTTTTAAAATTTTGTTTTATTTATCAAATTCATTTGCTGCCCAACTCTGAGCAGTTGGCCACTCTCCCTGTGAAGACACGCTCATCAAATGTGGTGCTTTCTTTCTTTCTTTCTTTCTTTCTTTCTTTCTTTCTTTTTCTTTCTCTTCTCCTTCCTTTTCTTTTTCTTCCTTCCTCCCTCCCTCCTTCTTTTTTTTCTCCCTGCCTCCTTCCTTCTTTTCCTTCCTTTCCTTCCTCCCTCCCTCCCTTTTTTCTTTTTTCTTCCTTCCTTCCTCCCTCTTTTCTTTTTCTCCCTCCCTCCCCTTTCTCTTCCTTCCTTTCTTTCCTTTCTTCCTCCTTTTCTTTTTCTTCCTTCCTTCCTCCCTCTCTCCTTCTCTTTTCTTTTTCTCCCTCCCTCCCTCCTTCTTTTCTCTTGCTTCCTCCCTCCCTCCCTCCTTCCCTCCTTTTCTTTTTCGTCCTTCCTCCCTCCTTTTCTCTTCCTTCCTTCCTCCCTTTTTTCCTTCTTCCCTCCCTCTTTTCTTTTTCTCCCTCCCTCCCTCCTTTTCTCTTCCTTCCTTTCCTTCCTTCCTTCCTTCCTCCCTTTTTTTTCTTCCTCCCTCCCTCCTTTTCTTTTTCTCCCTCTCTCCCTCCTTTTTCTCTTGCTTCCTTTCCTTCCTCCTTCCTCCTTTTCCTTCCTTCCTTCCTTCCTTCCTCCTTCCTTCTCTTTTCTTTTTCTCCCTCCCTCCTTCCTTTCTTTCCTTCTCTTTTCTTTTCCTTCTTTCTTTCCTTCCTTCGTTCCTCCTTCCCTCCCTCCTCCCACATGACCCCAGGACCCTGCAACCGTCATCCATACGAGTCAGTTGCCAACCATCCAAATTCAGATGTGAAAAACGGTCATAAATCACTTTTTTTCAGCGCTGTTGTCATTTTGAACGGTTACTAAACGAACTGTTGTAAGTCAAGGACTGCCTGTAGCTCACCCTGAAAGAAAACAAGTTGTGGGTGCGGCATCCCTGGAGAGTGTTTAAGAAAAAAAAAACCCGGACAGACGTTTATCCGAAATTGTATAAGGTTTGGGGGGGGTTGGACTAGAAGACCTCCAAGGTCCCTTCCAACTCCGTTATTCTGTTATCCTTCCTACTCACATCACCTGCAAAGGTTTTTCCTAGCTGGGCTTTATACTCACCAAGGGATCAAAGGCAATGCTGGTGATGCTCCCACTGGACACGTCCAAGGTTTGCTTCTCCTCCAGGCAGCCTGAAAACATATAAGGAACCGTTGTTGGAATTGGGAATGTCTCGTTTAATGAAGAGAAGGACCAGGGGGGACATGATAAGCAGTCTTCCAGTATCTCAGGGGCTGCCCCAAAGAAGAGGCAGTCAAGCTATTCTCCAAAGCGCCTGAAGGCAAGATGAGAAGCAACGGATGGAAACTAATCAAGGAGAGAAGCAACCTAGAACTAAGGAGAAACTTCCTGACAGTCAGAACAATTAACCAGTGGAACCGCCTGCCTCCAGAAGCAGTGAATGCTCCAACACTGGAAGCTTTTAAGAAGAGACTGGACAGCCATTTGTCCGAAATGGTATAGGGTTTCCTGCCTGAGCAGGGGGTTGGACTAGATGACCTCCAAGATCCCTTCCAACTTTATTATAAAACAATCACAAAGGACGGAAGACGCGCTTACAAGCAAAGTGAAAGCCGGGGGGGGGGGCAGGGTTTCTATGGTGTGTGTGTGTGTGCCAACATCTGCAAAGAGGCAGGCACCAGCTGTCAGGTGCAGGAGATCAGGACTCCAAGCGGTTCAGGTGAAATACAGGATATCCTCAACTTACGACCACAGTTGGACCCCAAAATTTTCTGGTTTGTTATTTTTTCCCCCTAAGGGAGCCATTTGTGAAGTGAGTTTTGCCCCCTTTTTATGACCTTTCTTGCCACAGTTGTTACGCAAATCACTACAGTTGTTAAGTTAGTAACCCAGTTATTCTTCCTCCTCCTCCTCCTCCTCCTCCTCCTCCTCCTCCTCCTCCTCCTCCTCCTGTCTTCAAACCCCATTCCCTTCCAGCACT